ACAGTTCTCTCCTTTCCAAGGACACCCATCTTCAGTTTGTCTTCTTTCCTCTTACTCTCTATACATCTCATCTTTAAATAAACGAGGCCTCTCTGCTGTTCTGACTGTTAAAACCCTTCAATGTACTCTGCTTCTGATTCCTGCCTCCTTTTCACTGGTAGCAGATGCTCTGCTACTGCCATCGCTCCCTCTTCTCTGACACTACCTGTCAGGAAGTCCCGTGGTCATATTTCTGCCCTCATCTTACTGGGGCTCTCACAGCATGCAGTGAAATTAAGATTTCTCTGTTTGAAGTTACTCTTCTTCCAGCTTCTGTGCCCCACAGTTTGTGGTTCTTTCTGTCCACACCTACTCCACCGACAGACACTGTGCCAATTAGTTTGTGTGCTGCTCCCCTCTCTTTACTGAGCCTGTCACCTGCATGATCTTCTTTAGGTCAATAGCTTTAAGTCTTATCCGAATGCTGATGGCTGGCTGTCAGAATTATAGCTTCTGGTGAGAAATCACTCCTGAACTCCATACTAGTTCACAACAACTGCCTAGAAGATAGATATCACCACTTGGGTCCCTCATAAGCATTAAAATTTAACAAGACAAAATTTAAACTGCCTAGATACCTACTAATCTCTCTTGCCCATCTCAGTACTCAGCAAGTGGTAGCACAGTCTATACAATTTACTAAGCCAGCACCTTGGAAACCTCCTTTCATTTCTCATATTGTGCTGCCCCAAGTCTCAATTAACCCATCAACAATTTCTACCTCTATAAAGTATAGCATGTGCCAGGTCTCCTCTCAATGTCTGCCTTGTCATAAGACCTCAAGTACACATTTACCCTGCCCCCACAACAAGCATGCTTACATACGTGTATACACTCAGATTCATTTGTTTTCTGTCACCTCAAATGGAATCACTATTTTTTATCCTTACTAGATCCAACAGTTGGAGAAAGGTTCACCTGGAAAGCTGAAAGTATTGGCTAAATCCACTGAAGACCAGAAACTATTGAAGGAGTGTATAACACAGTAAGTCCTATTTTTTGAGCAGTAAGTGGAAAGACACACAAATGGCAAGGGTGAAACTTAAGAAAAATTATTCTAGGGTTAATGATTTTTATTCTTTGTAAGAGTACAATAAATGCGGAGGACAGTTGGGCTGCTGATATTTGAGTTTTCCATGATACATAAAGAATACCATGAGATTAATTAAGCTAGTTTACTTCTCTCTGAGTACTGCTGGGATTGGCACAGGTGTCTTGAGCATGGTGGGTGAGTGTTTGTCTGCTGAGCTACACCCTCATTCCAGTGGTGAAAAACTGCACCTCCACCTTGTTTAGTATCCAATCCTGCACACACATTGTGTATACTTCAACTGAAAGTACATAGGAGACTAAAGCCACCAACCAACAATTTGGCCCTAGATGTGCAAATCCCAACATAGAAACACAAGAAATATGGAAAAAAACAAGGCAGCATGACTCCTCCAAAAATCAGCAATTCCACAATAATGGATACTAACAACAGTGAAGTGAATGAAATCCCAGACAAAGAATTCAAAGGAATAATTATAAGAATGAGCAACAAAATCAGAGTACATGAGTAAATACCTAAATGCACTCAAAGAGAATAATAAATAAATAGCTAAATGAACTAAAGAAGATAACATAAGATATGAGAGAGATACAGATTCTGAATAAAGCTAAATTAAAATTTTGAAATTGAAAATTTCAATGAATCAAATAAAATACTCAGTGGAAAGCCTCCTCCATAGACTGGATGAAGTAGAAGATAGACTATGAGAACTTGAAGGGAAGGTAGATGAGACATTGAAACAAAATGTATGAACCAAACAAATGGGGTCTTGGGACACCACTAAAAGTCAATACCTACAAATTATGGGTGTAGAATTGGAGGTGTGAACTAAAGGCATGGCAAAATATATTCAACAAAATAGTAGCAGAAATTTCCCCAAATCTTGGGAAGGAGATGGCTATTCAGGTACAAGAGACTTTGAGAATAAGCAGACAAGACCAGAAAAGAACCTCTGCACGGCTTGTTACAGTGAAAACATTAAGTGTGCATAGCAAGGAAAGAGTATGGAAAGCCACAGAGGAGCACAAGCTCTCACAAAGGCAAACCCTCAAGGAATCAGATGGTGATTCCCAGCAAGGTCGGTGCACTTCTTACAGAGGTTATCCTAGGTTCTTCTGTGTCTGTATGGAGTGCACATGGGGTCTGCTGCTGGTGTATAGAAATGCTGGTTTTGGTATTTGTTTTAATATTTGGTAATCTTGTGAAAGCCTTATTTAATAATTTATCCTCAGATTATTTTGGACTTTCTGTGTATACATTCATATTATCTCTGAATAATAATAGGTTTGTTTCCTCTCTTCTACTGTAATTTTTTTTTACATGAGTACACTAGATAGGACTTCCAGTACAATGTCAACAAGAAATGGCAAATGCAGGCATTCCTGCCTGGTTCTCAGTACCAAAAGGAAAGTTTCAGTGTTTTGTTATTAAGGAGTAATATTTTCTGTGGGGTTCTGGTGGATACTCCAGCTAAGGTATATTTTTTTCCTATGGTTTGTTAGCTAAGTGGGTTTTGTTTATTTTAAATTAGGACAAATGTTCGGTTGTGATAGTGCTTCATGCACATCGATCTTTTTTTGCTTTACTTTGTCAATGTGTTGAATGGTTTTCTAATGTTCAGTTGACTTTGTATTCCTGGTGAAAACCCAGTTTGGAAATTTAGATTTGGTTATTTAGGACTTTGGTATCTATACTTATGAATCATAGTGGCTTGTAATTTTCCTTTCACATCTTGCATAAACTTATTTGAGGTCATGAAAAAAGGTGGGGACGTGTTTCCTCTTTATTCTCTGGCAACATTTATGTAATATTAGAACTGGATTTTTATGTTTTGGTGGAATTCACCGATGGAACCATCTAATGCTAACATTTCCAGAGGACATATTTGAATACTGATTCAATTTCTCTAATGATCAAAGGATTTTAAGGTCTTCCATTTTTTCTTGAGCTACTTTTGAGTAGTTTTATGTTTTCCAGGACTTAGTCCATCTCACCTAAGTTTTCAAATGTATCAGTATAAAGTTACTGATGACATCTCACTTTGAGAATTATTTATCTTTAGTGAGGTGTAATTTGGATGCTGTGAAACACAGATCTCAGAGGAACAGGTAGTGATTTTGACATATCCTCACACTCAAGCACTCCATACCCTTTAAAGGCAGCAGACCACGTCTGTGGGTCCAGAAAGCTCTTTGTGCTGCTTCCCAGTCCACAGCCCCTGCGATCACTGTGGGGTCTCTAGCCCCACAGATTAGGTTTGCCTATTCTACACGTAGCAAGATGGAACCATTGCAGTATGGGTGCCTCAGTACCTGGCTTCTTTGTTCAGGATGATGTTGTTAGGATGCATGATTAACTAGGAATGGATGGGAGGGTGTGTGCATGTGGTTGGTTTATGTGCTTTACTGTCTATAGACACCTAGCTTCTTCTCAGTTTGGCTGTTGTGGTTAAAACCAGGAGGTTTCTTGTTTAAGCTTTTTGTGGCCATATATCAATTTCTCCTGGGTAAATGCCAAGGAGTGATATTGCTTGATCATAGTACAGTTTGTACATTTAACTTTTTTTTTTGGTGGTACTAGGGTTTGAACTTGGCCTTGTGCTTGCTAGGCAGGTACTCTACCACTTGAGCCACCCCCCACCCCAATCCTTTTTTGCTTCAGGGTTTTTTATTTTTCAGATAAAGTCTCACATTTTTGTCAGGACAGCCTTGGATGGTGATCTTCCGATGAATGGCTCCCAGGTAGCTGGAATTACAGGTGTTAACCTCATGCCCAGCTTGTTGGTTGAGGTAGAAAGGGTTCATTAACTTTTGCCTGGGCTGGCCTTTAGCTATGATCCTCTCAATCTCCACGTCTTAAGTAGCTGGGATTATAGACGTGTACCAGCATGCTCAGCCATACATTTAACTTTTTGAGAAACTGACAGTGAATTTCCAAATGAAGGCATTACTTTATATTTCCACCAGCCATGCATTAAGGGTTTGGCTCTCACCAACCTTTGGGTTGTCTGGCTTTCTCATTTTAGCCATTTTAGAAGATGTGTAGTGGTGTCTTACTATGTTTTGTATCTTCCTGATTACTAATACTGTGGAGTACTTTTTCTTGTTGTCTTAGCAAAATACTACAGATTGGCTAGCTTAGGCAACAGAAGTTCTTTTTCACAGTTCTGGAGGTTGGAAGTTCAAGATCACATAGTTACTAGGTTGACTTTGTCCTGAAACTTCTCTGCTTAGCTTGCAGATGTCTACCTTTCTTCTGTGGCCTCACCTGGTCACCCTGTTGAGTGTTGTCTGTATCCTAATGTCCTGTCCTTACGAGGACATCACTTATACTTTTATTGTGGCTTTGATGGTCAGCTTTCCATTAGTATAGCAGAATATATGAGGTAATCACCTTAAAAGTGTGTTTTGGCTTACAGTTTTGGAGGCTTCAGTCCATGGGCGATTGACCCCATTGCGTTTGAACCTGTGGCTGGGCAGCACATTGTGGTTGGAGCACATGGCAGAATCTGCTTACCTCCCAGGGACTGGGAAGCACAAAGAGGAGGGAGACCAGAGCCCCACAGTCCCTTTGAGGTCACACCCTCAGTGACCTTACTTCCTCCTAATGGGCCCTGCTTCTCAAAGCTCCACCACCTTCCCTAACACCACAGGCTGTGTGCCAAGCCTATAACACAAGGCTGCCCCCCTTTAGGGGACAAGCCTATGTGAGCTTATTTTGTTTTAATTACCTCTTGAAATACTGTCAGAGTCTGAGATACTTTGGGTTAGCACTTCAGCATGTGGATTTTGAGGGGACACAGTTCAGCTCCTAACAGGCTCATGTAGACTCATGTGGGTAGAGTTGGCAAGTTGTATCTTTGAAGGAGTCTTTGACCTAAGCTGCCATATTTACTGGCATAGGTTGTTGTAATATTTCATTATCCTTCTAAAGTCTGACAGATCTATAACAGTGCCCCTTCATTCTCTCCTGAGAATTTTTTTCTCTCTCTCTAAACATAGGTTTTGTTAGCCATTGGTCGTGACTCCTGTACAAGGAAAATGGGCTTGGAGAAGATTGGTGTCAGAATCAATGAGAAGTGAGTATGTGTGGCATCACTGCACCATTGCTGCACACAGCCAAGTCTTGCCGGAAGTTGCCTCTTAGAGTTCCTCATTTAATTGTAAGAGAAAACATGAACACTCTAAATTTCTCTTGCAAGAAGTGCTGGCATGCTCTGTACTACTAGTTTCTTAATCAGTGGATGAGTCAGCACCTCTTACTGCAGGAGCTCATGCATCCAACAGCAATTTAAGAAGCATGTGGAGATCTGTTCACCTTCTCTCTGTGATTCAGAGCGAGTTTTGATGCCATTGATCGGCAAGGAGGGAAATTCCAAAGGTCCAGGAGTGACTGTGGGATTCTGGAGGTGATCTTAGGTATCCAAGGATGGGCCTGGCTTCACCAGAGAGATGTGTCCTTTTGGAACTACGGAAAGCCTGGTTATTTGAGCCAGTGATCTTAACAATTATTGATAACCTGAGGTGTTGTTAGAGGAAAGCCTTTGTGTATTTAGTTTTTGGAGTGGTGTCAGTCAGCAATACAGAGTTAATCGTAGTGTATTTTTCCTTCTCAAACACTACCAGAAATGGCAAGATACCAGTGAATGATGTGGAACAGACCAGCGTGCCCTACGTCTATGCCATTGGGGATGTTTTGGAAGGCAAACCAGAGCTCACTCCAGTTGCCATACAGGCAGGCAAGCTGCTGGCTCGAAGACTCTTTGGGGCCTCTTCACAAAAGGTAATTTCTTCCTATGGTTGATGTATCATTTTGTGCGTGTGCGTGCGCGCATGTGTATGTGTGTGCATGTGTGTGCGTGCGTGTGTGTGCGTGTGTGTGGTGTGTACATGTGCGTGTGTGCATGGGTGTGTGCGTGTGCGTGTGTGTATGGGTGTGTGCGTTTGCATGTGTGTGCGTGTGTGGTGTGTGCATGTGCGTGTGTGTGTGCGTGCGTGTGTGTGGTGTGTGCGCGTGTGTGTGGTGTGTGCATGGGTGTGTGAATGTGTGTGCGTGCATGTGTGCGTGTGTGTGCACGTGTGTGTGCGTGTGCATGTGTGTGCGTGTGTGTGTGCATGTGCGTGTGTGTGCATGTGTGTGCGTGCGTGTGGTGTGTGCATGTGTGTGCACGTGTGCATGTGTGTGTGGTGTGTGTGTGCGTGTGTGCATGTGTGTATGGTACTTGCACCTCATGCATGCTAAGCAAGTGCTCTACTCTACTGAGCTACAGCACCAGGCCTGAGGTAATGTCTTGATCAAAATTATGACTTTGAGATCAGTAGGAATAACACTTGTGTGCTCGATTTCCAAGTAAAGGTTCCCAGAGATTAATTGGCAGCTGTCTTACTATTGACTAGTGGTTTTAAATAAATGTGAACTTGCATTCTGCAAGATGTTGTGCTGCAATATTGAAAAGATTACTATGGTACAGCCAAAGGGCTCACCAGGTGGTGGAGGTCATGAGTCAGACAAACTGAGGAAAATAATAAGAGAATAAGATTGTGTGCCAAGGCTGCTGGAAGCCAGTTGTTTTAGGACTGGGGAAAGGATGGCTGGATTCTAACTGAAAGGAGGGGAAGACTTCCTAGATGGACAGCTGAGTATAACAGAGAAAGAGTCTGGGCATGTTCAGATCCAGCCCCGGCTTCAGTGCCTGCTTGGTGTGTCCTTGGCCAGCTGGCTTTGCTTCCTGGGATGTCAATTTCACCATCTGGGAGGACAATGCTGTGAGTCAGTGGTTTCTGCCTTTCATATCTTTTGATCAAAGGTTTGGCATGGCCTTTGTAGGTTGTAATTCAACAGCAGATAAACAAAGTATTTCTCTAGTAGCACACAGCTTAGATAAGGGCACACAGGGCTGTAGCCATGGTCTGATAAGGCCTGTGAGCACCTTACAGGAGTCCCACTGGAAGTGCTGCTCTGCTCCACCAGGTGTCAGCAGATTATGGCCTAGAGATGGCATTAGCCATAGGGTCCAGGAATGCCATGCAAAGAACCATATCATCCACACTGCAGGTATCCTTATATGGTATCTGTAAGCAGACCAGTTGGTGATAAGGGAATGGGGCTGGAAAATTAATTTGGTGCTAGGTTCTCAGAAGTGTTTGATGGCACAACAAAGAGTGGGTCAGACCTTCTGCAGGCCATGAGGAACTGTTGAAGACCTTATTTCTCCCACCTTTCCATTTACACAGATGTCAAACCACAGAAGGAAAATCAAGCAATCACCCATATTATACCTTTCCCTCAGAGTCCCCAGTTGCTAACATCTGATTGTTTTTGCTCACTCTCCTTTTTCTGAATATGTCTTAAGTATAAAACATATACTTTTTCTTTCTTTTTTTTTGCTGAGCTTTTTGAATTGGCAGACATAAAATGACATCTTTCTCCTAACTACTCATACTTATATCTCAAGTACAAGGTTATTCTTTTTTTTGGTGGGGGGGTGGTTCTGGCACTTGAACTCAGGACCTACACCTTGAGCCACTCCACCAGCCCTTTTTATTGTGAAGGTTTTTATTTTTTTGTTATCGACATAGGGTCTTATGAACTATGTGCCTGGGCTGGCTTAGAACCATGATCCTCCTGATCTCTGCCTCCTGAGTAGCTAGGATTACAGGCATGAGTCATTGGTGCAAGGTTATTCTTAAGTACCATTCATTACCATATCTGAGAAATTCAACAAAATGCAGTAATGCTCAGTCTTCTTCAATCGTCTGTTAAGTGTGTGTCTGTTTTGGTCCTTTCAATCTGACAGTCGTACTCCCTTTTCTAAATATTTGTGATGCAAACTCTTGCTGAGCCAAGTGTCACACAGTAAGAGAAGGTAACTGTCTGTTTTTCAGTGTGACTATATCAATGTTCCCACTACACTGTTTACGCCCCTGGAATATGGCTGCTGTGGCCTGTCTGAGGAGAAAGCTATTGAAGTCTATAAAAAAGAGAATCTAGAGGTGAGATCATGTCTTACTGTTGCCTTTAAGACCTTCCCCTTAATCAGCCTTTTATATTTGCCATCACTTTTTACTTCATCATTGCTACACAGTTATACTGTGGGGACTCATGTCCTTATTCTTGGAAAAGTAGAGATTAATTTAAATTCTGTGTCTCTGGAAAACTAGTTAAAGAGGGGAGACAGGAAGTAGAAAGTGTAAGTCAGGACATTTGAGTTGCAGGTGTCAAAGGCGTACTTCAGCAAGTTTGTACAAAGAAACTCAAAGTTTAAGCTTGTTTGAGAACTCAGGGGTAGGAATGTGACCAAGTCTCGGTAGAAGCGCTGCAGTCCAGCTGCAGTGGGGGTTCCAGGGGGGCTCGAGCGGCAAATAATGACATGAACTGGGGGCTGTGCCGGGCAGCAGTGGCATAGCTGATTTTCTGGAGAGAGTATTTAAGCAGTGCAGACGAGCAGGAAGGAGTATGTGGTAGTCCCCAGGTTTCCCTTGACGTCTGTACTGAGATTGGCTGTCACGTTGCTATGGCTACGAGCCCAAGTGCAGAACATCATGTTCTATGGACTGGGTTTTCCCAGTCCCAGGCAGAGAGAGAACAGGGGAGTTCAGCAACTGTCTTCTTGGACTGTTGCAATCTCTCTCAGAGCTGTTGCACAAAAGCTACAGTGACTCCACTCTTTTCCAAGGGCTTTGGGGGTCCTGAGGGTTACCTACATAGGGGCAGGAACTAGGAACTGGAAGACCAACTCAGATTTCCCTTTTTCTCTCTTGAGGTTTGTGTGTCTGTCTGTGGGTGCACACATTCATGTTTCTGTTTCTCTGGACATTCTCTTTGCCCCTGGAATGCACGCAGCAACTAAAACAGGGCCTGTCTTCTGCTCTCACGGGTATCCAGTCATTCTGGTCACAGAGGAACTGACTGACTGGCTGTTTCTTAGTCTTAATTCCACAACACGGGTTGATCTGTGGTGCACCAGGCCAGTGTCCACCTTTTAGTAGAAGAGCTTAATCCATTCCATTCGGTGTGATGATGGGTCAAGAAGGATTTGCCTTTGTAAGGACCCTATTCAAACATGACTGCATTCTTGGTTAGCAGCAGGTTTTCAACACCTGAGCCATAAAGGTAAGTAGTGAGTGAATTCAGCCAAGTTGCGTGATTTCAAGTCAACACATAAATGACTGTCTTTTTATACACTTGTAACAACTATGCAAACAATTTGATTTTCAATAGCATCAGAAAGAATAAAGTACTTAGTACTAACTTTAGCCTCGGAGGGGAAACTTGTACCCTTAAAACCTTAAAAGGTTGAGCAAAGAAATTAAAGAAGACTTAAATACTTAGAAATACATCTCATGTTCACCAACTGGAAAACTTAATGTTGTTAAAAAACAGGATTGATTCAGGGTTAGTACTTAGCAAATTATGTCTGTGACAAAACAAGGTACTTTTTAATCCAATAGAAAATAAAAATTTGTTCATGAAAGTCAGGTAATCAAAGTCACTATCTGGCTCGGTTGTGAATAACTCACTTTAAAAAGGAACAGCTTTTTGAGATGTAATTTACATACCATAAAATCCATACAGGTAGTTAGTAATTCTCCTGTTCAGTCATCACCACAGTCAGTTTTCAAACTTTTCCATCTCCCCGAAAAGAAGCCCTGTGTCCATTGGAGGTCACTCATTGTCCTCTCTTGGGCTCCAGCCGAATAGACTGACCTATTGTGGACATTTCTTACGCATGGAATCTTTCAGTGCTTGTTCTCTTGGGACTGGCTTCTTTCCTTAGTGCACCATCTTCAAGATTCACATTGTGGCAGGTGTCAGTATTTAGTTTCTTTTTATTGTGGAATCGTAATTAGTTGTAAGTAATGGTACATCTTATTTATGCACTGCTAAGTTGGACAATTTGGATTGGTTTTACTCTGAGCGTTCACGTGTAAGTTTTCATGCAGACGTGATGCTATCATTTCTCTTGGGTGTGTACCTAAGCATAGAATTGCTGGGCTACTGGGTGACTGCCAAAGCCAGGGAACTCATGGAGAGACCAGGAGGTGGAAGGGGCAAGGAGGAATTCTCTCTGAGCTTTCAGCCCTGCTGGCTTGGTTCAGATTTCTGACTACCAGATCTGTGAGAAAATGCATTTCCTTTTTTTTTTTAAGACACTTAAGTTTATAGTAATTTTTGAGGAAACTAATGCACCATCCTCGTGTTTTCTCATGCTGACTTTGACCTTCATTTCTGTAATGACTAATGAGTGATGTTGAACACTTCTTCAGGTGTTGTTAGCCATTTCTGTATCTTCCTCAGATAAATATCTATTTAGATCCTTTGTTCTTTTAAAAACTATTTTGCCTTTTATTATTGAGTTATGAGAGAGAGAGAGAGAGAGAAAGAGAGAGAGAGAGAGTACGTGTGTTGCTCGGATCAAACTCAGGGCTCATGCATGGTAATCACATGCTGTACCACTGAGCTACATCCTAGGTGAAGTTGTAAGAGTTCCTTGTGTATATTCTGTGTACAAGTCCCTCATTAGAAAGATGATTACAAATTTTCCACATTGTTGGAGCTGTCTCTTCACATTTTTGATGCTGTACTTTTAGGTAAAAAAATCTTTGATTTTGAAGTTTAATTTATCATTTTTTCCTTCTTTCTTTTTTTCATTAATTTTTTATTAGAATATATTCGTTGTACAGAGGGGATTCATTGTAACAATTCCAAATAGGCTTATATTGTACATTGGTTAGATCACATCACTTCTCTCTCCCTCAACTCCCTCCCCACCCCACTTAAAACTATTGCAAGAGGTTTCTTTGTTTTATTTCATGTAAGTATATGAACTACATTAACCATATTACTTTACCTTAATATCCTTTGTTCACCCTCCTCCCTCCCACAAATTACCCTCGCTCCACATACACTGTACCTGTATTACAGTTGTGTCTTTATTGTTATCTAAGTCAGTGCTCAAACAGGTATCTCAATGTATCCTTGTTGTGAGTGTACTTTACTTTGGTTCATTCAATCATTGCTGTCCCTTACCCTTTACCTCCTACCCCCCATTTTTCAGCAGCTTTCAATACACATCCTTGTGTCCTCTACCCTCACAAATGTTATGTTTTATGATATTGTTGATGCTCTATCATTCTCTTTTCCTTTCCCTCCTTCCCTGAGTTTCATAGTGTACTTCCACTGTTACACACATGTTCTACATATGAGTTTGTATATGATCATGTTTGTTTTTGTGTATATGTTTATATGTTGGATTTGTCTTTCAGGTATGAGAGAAAACATGCAGCCTTTGTCTTTCTGAGCCTGGCTTACTTCACCTAACATGATGTCCTCCAATTGCATCCATTTACCTTCAAACCACATGATGTCATTATTCCTTATGACTGAGTAAAGCTCCATTGTGTATATACACCACATTTTCTTGATCCATTCACCAATTGTAAGGCCTCAGGGCTGGCTCTACTGCTTGGCAATTGTAAATAGTGCTGCAATGAGCAGGGGTATACAGGTGTCTCTAGTATCCTGTCTTATGTTCCTTTGGGTAGATGCCCAGGAGCAGTATCACTGGATCATATGAGAGTTCTATCATTACTTTTTTGAGGAATCTCCATACTTCTTTCCATGGTGGTTGTACTAATTTGCATTCCCACCAACCGTGTATAAGGGCTCCTGTACTGCTGCATCCTCACTAGCATTTGTTTTTGCTATGGCCATTCTAACTGGGGTGAGATGAAATCTTAGTATAGTTTTGATTTGCATCTCTTTTGTAGCCAGGGACATTGAACACTTCTTCATGTATTTATTGGTCATTTGTACCTCTTCCTTTGAGAATTCCCTATTTATTTAATTCATGTGCCCATTTTTTTCACTGGGGTGTTGATTCTTTGGGGGTTGAGTTTTTGAGTTCCCTGCAAATTCTATATATTAGTCTCTTATCAGATGAATCGCAGGCAAAGATGTTTTCCCATCTGTGGGCTGTCTCTTGAGTCTAGTGACTGTTTATTTTGCTGTGCAGAAGCTCTTTAGTTTGATGCAGTCCCATTTCTTCATTCTTTCTCTTAGATGCTGCACTTTTTGAGTTCTTAGGAAGTCATTCCCTACACTTATGTGTTCCAATATATTTCCTACTACTTCTGTAGTTGTTTCAAAGTTTCAGGCCTTAGATTAAAGTCTTTGATTCACTTTGAGTTTATATTGGTACAAGGTGAGAGACTAGGATCTAGTTGCAGTCTTCTTCATGTGGATATCCAGTTTTCCCAGCAACCTTTGTTGAAGAGGCTGTCTTTTCTCCAGCGTGTGTGTTTTGGGCTGCTTGTCGAAGATCAGTTGGCCACAGCTGCATGGATTTATGTTGGATTTTCTAGTCTAATCCATGAGTGTTCATGTCGTTTTGTGCCAATACCATGCCATTTTTGTTATGGCTCTGTAGTATAGTTTGAAGTTGGGTATTGTAATACCTCCAGCATTGAACATTTTGCTCAGAATTGCTTTGGCTGTTCAAGATGTTTGTGTTTCCATATGTATTTTAGGATTTATTTTTCTGTCTTTGTGAAGAACATCATTGGGATTTTGGTAGGGACTGCATCAAACATGTAGATTGCCTTTGGTAATGTGGCCACTTTCACAGTGTAGATTCTACTGATCCACAAGCATGGGAGAGCTTTCCACCTTCTGATATTCTCTTCAGTCTCTCTCTTCAGTGGTTCACAGTTTTCATTGAAAAGTTCTTTGGTTTCAAACCTTCATCAAATTTATTACAAGATACTTTTTTTGAGGCTGTTGTATATGGGATTGTTTCCCTGATTGTTTTCTCAGTCTCTTCATTGTTGACATGGAGGAAGGCCACTGATTTCTGTACATTAATTTTGTATCCTGCTACTTTGCCAAAAGAGTTTATGATTTCTAATTTTTTTTGGTGGAATTTTTAGGGTCTTTATGTATAGAATCATGTCATATGCAAATAGAGATAGCTTGATTTTTTTCCTTGCCTATT